ATTGCGCGAGGTGACCTGAGTGCATTACGCGTAATTGGCCGCTGTCAAAATTAACGGAACGACGACTGGAAGAAAGCATGCGCGAGCGGGCGATCGCGATAATTATTGGTGAAGCGAGGCGCCCGTGATAAGCCGCGCATGCTCATTGAAAAATAATTATTCGGCGGAACAGTTGTAATACCGTTAATTGTTGATGTTTTGAGAGGTTTTTTTCCGAAACAGATTTATTTATGTCGCGGCGTTTTCTCCTCGAAAAACATATAAAAACGATTTGCTGAAAATATCGATTGGTCTAGAATATTCTAAAGTATTCTATTCGAGTATAATATTTTATTATGCGGAGAATGTTTTCTTATGCATTTTGAACATTCCCGACCGCCTTGTCGCGCAGTGACAACATGCTGTCGAATTTTGGCCGCGGAATCTCAAGTCGATAGCGATCGATGGTGGGGCGGGCGCGCGCCGGCGCGGTGAAATACTTGATGATCGCGTGGAATGTGACGCGATCAGCTGACAAGCCGATAAACACGTGGTGATAGCGTGGTGCGGAGCGATCAGCTGCGAGAGTGAAAACGCGTGTTTGATGTGCAATGAATAGTGTGTAGTGCAATGCGGTGATTATGAGAAAACTGAGGTGCGACAAATGTTACAGTGCATGTGATGATTATGTGGTGAATGAGTGTCGCGAGATGAGAGATGAGTTACGTGCCGGCGGACGGCGTGTCCGCGTTATTCCTGCCCGGAATACGATCCGCGCCCGGAAGCATGACCAATTTGACGAGCGGGCGTACAAGTTCGGACGTGGCGGTGCGGACTGAGACCACGCGGACGATACCGTCGTCCCCAGGATGCAGTTTCGTGATCCGCGCAAGAGGCCATCGGGTCGGAGGGGTGAGCTCCGAGCGGATGATGCAGAGGTCCCCGACGTGAGGTACGGACTCGGCCTTGAACCATTTGGTGCGGGGGTTGAGACCGTGCACATACTCAGCCGACCACCGCTGCCAAAAATGGTCTCGTATCAGCTGCAGGTGACGCCAGCGTGACAGCGTGGAGGTTGATTGACCCGTCAGCGATGGCTCAGGTACCGCGAGTAGCGGTGCTCCGATGATGAAGTGGCCTGGTGTGAGCGCCGAAGTGTCATCTGGATCGTCTGACAGAGCCTGTAACGGACGAGAATTAAAACACGCCTCTATTTGTGTGAGGAGTGTACTAAGTTCCTCAAACGTAAGTGTAGTTTCGCCGATTACTCGACGGAGGTGAAATTTTGTGGATTTTACGGCAGCCTCCCAAAGACCACCAAAGTGAGGGGCCGCTGGCGGATTAAAGTGCCAGCGGATCCCTTGAGTGTTGGCGGCGCGGGCGACATGATGGCTCTCGGAGGTCGACGCCTTGAAGAGCTCACGCAATGTGCGATCGGCGCCAATGAATGTTGTGCCGCAGTCGCTGTAGATGTCCTTGCACAGACCTCTGCGAGAGACGAAGCGGCGTAAGGCGGCGATGAAGGCCTCGGAGCTGTAATCCGAGACGACCTCGAGGTGGATAGCCTTTGATCAGAAACATATGAAGACTGCGATGTATCCCTTCTGTGAGCGGTGTCCGCGCCCCTTGCTGGTCCGGATAGAAATGGGTCCCGCGTAGTCCAGGCCAGTACTCAGGAATGGCCGAGTCGGCGTCACTCGGTCACGAGGAAGGTTGCCCATAGGAGGTTGTGGAGTGGCAGCTCGCCAGCGCGTGCAAGTGACGCACCGATGCAATTGCTGCTTGACGACGGTTCTTCCACGTGGCACCCAGAATCGAAGGCAAAGTAAGCTGAGAGTCATCTGGACGCCGCCATGCAGAGACCAACGATGGCAGGACTCGATTAGCAGTCGCGTCATCCAGGAGGCCGGCGGGACGATCACCGGGTGCTTTTTGTCGTAGGGCAGCAGAGCGTGCTTGAGGCGTCCTCCGACGCGAAGCACACCTTGGTCGTCGAGGAAAGGGTTCAGCTTGACCAGTGAACTGCGTGGTGGACCGGGCCGGCCTGCGGTGGCAGCAGCTACCTCGTCAGGGAAGTGGAGCGCCTGCACCACTCGAAGCCACTGGAGTAGAGCGGCGTCTAGCTCGTCAGGATGCAGCGAGCGACCAGATGTGACCTCCCGGCTTGCCAGGTTGAGCCATCGACGGCACCAAGCTGTAACGCGCAGTAGCCGATGAAGAGCGGAGAACCGAAGAAGGAGGTCCGGTTCAATGATGACGGAACTCCTGGTTAGCAGGCTGGTGGTGCGTTGTTCCGGAAGGTCGTCCTCTGAGATGTCGACCTCTGAGTTGGGCCACGCCGTTTCGTCCAGTGCCAACCAGGTAGGTCCAGTCCACCATAATGCGTGGTTGATTAATTCCCCAGGAGTAATTCCTTTTGATGCGCAATCTGCAGGATTGTCTTTCCCGGCTACGTGCTTCCACTGAGCGTCCGGGAGCTGTGTTTGGATATGAATTACCCGGTTGGCGACGAAAGTTTTCCAGCGGGTGGCGTGTCCCTGGATCCAATGGAGCGTGACCTTGGAATTGGACCACAGGTACACCGGAGTAGACGCCAAGTCGAGCGTGTTGCGGACATGCAGCGTGAGCGTGGTGAGTAGATCAGCAGCGCACAACTCCAGGCGAGGCAGTGAAACTTGCTTGACGGGTGCGACCTTGGATTTCGCCATGAGCAAATGGTTGATGCTTTCCTCTTTTCAGAGTTGCGGAGGTAAACCGCTGCGGCGTATCCTCGTTCGGAAGCGTCAGCAAAGCCGTGGAGCTGAAGCCTTGAGTGATCGTCGTCGGTGCTGAGCCAGCGATTAACTCGTATGTTGCTGAGCAGAGGTAGCTGGTTCAGCAGCTGTTGCCAACGTTGAACATCCTTGACAGTGGAGCGTCCCAGTCCATCGGGTCGAATAGCCGTGCAGTTGTGACCGGACGGCATGAGAGAAATGGCCCTCCGCTCGACTTACCAGTCAACAGACGCCCCGCTTTCACCTTAATGGTCGCCACTTGCTTTAGCCTATACAAGCAAGAAGGTATGGTTGGTCGGTGTTGATCCTTTGATGTTCGGGCCGCTTTGACAGTTCCCTGTCTCGCTGTCCTCTTTGATAGGCGCCGCGCTTCCTTCAGAAGATGGCCGACGCTGCTTCACAGGTTGGGAACGCTTTGACGCGCCGCGGACAAAGGATTGCCGCAGGATCTTAACCTTAATTTTTCTCCTTTGTTTCAGAATACCGCCGGACTTCGACGTCACCTTGGGTACGGATTTACGACTGACGGAGGATATCCGTGGGATAATGGAAACGCAGGTAAGTGAACTTTTACACTGTTTAATTAACACAAAGAAGTTTATTTCTTTTAGGTGTCCAGTGGTCACTTCTTTACATAGCCACCTACGCTTTACACATAATTTAGTCCGCACGGTTAGTTGTACGCTTTTTACAAACTAGGCGCGACTAGTTAACGTGAATCCAAACACTCGCGATTGTTACCGCTTGCGACACGCGTCGTGTCACCTATGAGTTTTCGCATTAGGATCACGCGACACGTCGAAAGGTACACGATATATTAATCGCTTCGATCACTCGCATGATCTTCGATCCGCCTCGACTGTCTAACGAATCGGAACTCGCGACTTCTCAACCGCGATTCGTACAAGTGCAATGTACTGATGCACTGTCCGTCCGATTGTTATTATCTAACGAGACAAAGGAATGTCCCGGACGAATCGCGCTTTCGTGATGGTTAAATTTCACTAGCCCGACTGTCTCGAGCGATCGTTGCTCGCGACTTATATAGCCGGTTCGGATGCCTCGCGCTCGCCCTTCCCTTGGCCCGCCGGCCAATCAGGGAACGCCGCCCCACCGAAGGACTCGGAACGAATCGCCGCATGGGTGTGTAGCGCTGACTCCGCGAGAGTTCTATTTTTCGCTTTAGTTATTGTAAAGTGTACTCTACTAGAGTTCCTTTTTCCCGATTATTTCGCTAATCTTAATTTAGCGTGCCCGGGTGTTCGGGGCTTGGTTTATTTGTGTAAAATAAATTAAATAAAGTAAAATAAAATAAAATAAGATAAGATAACCTAAATTAAACTGAAAAATTACCATAGGCTAAAAGAAAATTACATAACGTGAAATAAAATAGTGATATCCAATTTCCTATTGAATGTCATTAACTTAATAATTTATACTCTTTCCTGAGTAGCCCTTGACTGTGACTAAATTTAGGTTACCCTTGGGCTTTTAACCTATCTGGCCACAGCTTGTCTTTGCGAGTCTAGCTGGGTCATTATCGCAGGTAAGTATCTATTGTATATATACATTTAACTTAATCTAAAACTTATTTTATCTAATTATTTTTGTTGAATCCAACGAGTGTCAGGACTAGACCAAGTCGCGTTTGCTAATTACTACTATGGGTAGTTGTGTACTTGTCACGATTATTTCTCGGCTCCAGTTATTTAAGTTAGTGGATTTCGTTAGCCTCCAACCTTAGTTTGAATCAGGTCGACATGGAAAGTTAGTTACCTTTCAAGATGCTTCGGAAACACTATGGGAGTCCGATTCAGGTTACTTTGAAATCCTAACTGTTCTAATAGGACTCGCGACTTAGCTCCATCTCAGACATCCGTTAGATCGATTTTATTAACCGCAATTTTGTATTTAGTATCTGTCCAAGTCCATTAATCACTTATCGTGTCGTAAACCTAAACTCTCACCTCTTGGGTGAGCTAGAAACTTGTTTCAGTCGGATTCGCAGTTGAGATGCTTCTCTGAGCAATTATGTCATTCGCATGGCTCTCCAAAGCTAATCCCGTGTTGGGAAGTTATCCAACGTATATTTCGATAACACGAGCGATCTCAAGTGCGGATCCGATGTAGTTTTCTCTCTATCTTAACTAAAAATAAAAATATGACTTGGACGTCACCGAATAGTTATATACGTTATTACTAACCGTTTTATATACATCTATATACATTTCATAGGGTTTATCACCCCTATTGCATTGGGATATCCGTGACACGTCCTTCATCCTTCTCAGGGCTCGCTGTGGCTCCTAGGATGATTGTGGGTCGTTCATCGGCTATCTCCAACGAGGTCGCTTCCTGGGTAGGTGGAACTTCCTTGGGTGTTCCGTCGTTGGTGTTTGGGTCTGCTTCATCCATCTGCGAGGGTCGTTCGCCCGCAACAGGATCCTGGGGATCGCGACCAGTGGTCGGTCGCACAGTCTCGGCGAGGACTCGTCGCTTCGTGAATTCTGTGACTGAACGCGGATGTATTGCGAAGGCAAACCAGTCATCTTGAGGATGCCATCGCAGGCTCAAGGTCGAATGGCTCTCTCCGTCCCATGAATGCGGTCCTTGCGGCAGCCGATGCTCTTGAGGGACTCCCGCGAGGACCTCGGAGTTATTTGAGGCCCACTTCCTCAGTGGAAATCCGCCCGCCGTGCACAGGTGGCGCAGCTCCGTCTGGAGGTTGATGGCATCGTCGAGGTTGTCTGCGCCGGTGACCACGTCGTCGACGTAGCAGTCACGCTTAAGTGCTGTGGCTCCTTGAGGAAATTGCGTCCCCTCGTCTGCGCAGAGTTGCCGCAGCGTTCGTATGGCCAGGAACGGTGCACAAGCCATGCCGTAGGTCACCGTTAGCAGGTCGTATTCTTGGATTTCGTCCGTCTTGTTGTGACGCCACAGGATTGTTTGAAGACGGCAATCCTCAGGATGTACGAGGATTTGGCGGTACATTTTTTCTACGTCGGTGACAAAGACGTACCGGTGCCAACGCCATCGCAGCAACACGTCGTTGAGCGCTGGCAGAAGATTCGCCCCAGTCAACAGATGAGAGTTCAGTGAAGTACCGGCCTGTGTGCGTTGAGAGCCGTTAAATACGACTCGGAGTTTTGTCGTCGTGCTCGACTCCTTCAGGACCCCGTGATGCGGTAAGTAACACTTGAGGTCATCCGCTGTAGTTGCAATGTTGACTCTCTTCATGTGTTGTAGGTCTTCGAACTCCTGCATGAAGCTGCGATAAAGGTCGCCAAATCGAGGATCTCGGCTGCCTTTGGTCTCCATGGTTCTCAAGAGGCGCTCCGCTGGTCGGCGAGTCTCGTGAAGATTCGTCGGCGGTGATGAAAGTGGTAGCCTCACAATGTACCTCCCGGTGGACGTGCGTGTGACGGTGCGCACATATAATTCCTCGCACTTAGCTTCTTCGGGAGTAAGTGGAGCCCGAGTTATTGGCTCGCTCTCCTGCTCCCAAAAGCGTCGAACGAGGTCGGCGAGGTCGTGATCGGCGGTGCACCGGAATGTGCGGCGATGTCCGTTGATTGCTGTTGCGTCGTAGCCGCCGGACAGGATCCATCCCAGGCTGGTCTGCTGGGCGGTCGGCATCCTTGAGTCACCCTTGCGGAGGCCTTCCTCGAGGATCAAGGAGTAGACCTCGGCTCCCAGCAGTAGCTCAGCTGGGTCGTCGTCCAGGAAGCGAGGATCGGCCAGCTGGAGTCCGTCGAGATGAGGCCAGCTGCGTTCTTCTCGCGAGACTGAGCCTTGCTGCAATGATATGCGGGGCAGCACACAAGCCACCACGCGGAGCTCGGCGTTGGTCACGTCTGACGTGACGTGCAGAGTGACCTTGCCACGAGCTGATCCTGAGCGGGTCCCTCCGATTCCGAAGATAGAGAGATCCGTCGAGACTCGAGGCAGGCGGAGACGTTGCGCCAAGGCCTTAGAAATGATCGACATTTCGGAGCATTGGTCAATCAAGGCGCGTATGGCGTGTGGTGAGCCGTACCGTTCGGCGATGTTAAGTCGAGCTGTAGCAAGAAGAACAGCCTTATGATCTCGATCTTGAAGAGTCGTGATCAGTGTAGTGGCGCGTGTGGTGGCCTCAGCTGCCTGTGAAGACGTGGTTGCTTTGTGCAGCGTAGTGTGGTGTCGTGCGTCGCACGTAAGGCAGTTCTTCTTCGACTGACAGCGAGATAAAAAGTGGTTTCCTAAGCAGTTCTAGCAGAGCTTGTTCGTCTCTACAAATGCTTTACGCTCGTTGACGGTCTTGGCCTTGAAATCTCGGCAGGTCATCAAGATGTCCCCCCCGTTGATCGCCACCTTGTCGTGGTGGGGGGGCTCACCCCTCGCAAGGGAATAGCCTTGCGAGGGGTGCTAAGAGCGATCGGTACCTCTTGTAGAGGTACAAGAGGCCTGGTGGGGCCTTAGGGTTTCGGCCCACCACCCTTGGAAGGCCATCAAGTAAAAAAACCAAATAAACAACATGGACGGACGAAACAACAGGAGAAAACTTACCGGCCCAGGGGTTTCGGATGCCCCAGGGCCCGGCGGAGAGGGGGTATCATCCCGGCCTCCACTCCGTCGTTAACGAGCGACGGGTGCGAGAGTGGGGATGGGTGGTCGACGGATTCGTCGATCGCATCGGCGGGGGGTTTACAGACCCCAGGGCGGTGAGGCCGAAGTACTTGCTTCCGGGCCTCACATGGGAGAGAGACCTGGCCCCATGGTGGTCCAAGGAGGACATTGATGTCCCCACGACGCGCCTCTTCCGGAGGTCTTTGCGCATCTGGAAGATGGTGAAGAGGGAGGTTGATGAATTCAACGAAGCCATCATGGAGGAAGTCCGGTCGGATGGGAAGATGAGTCCCATCCTGAGAGAAGCTACGGGCTTTGCCGGACGCATGTGGCGCATGACGCGCGAACTGACGGAGGTCTCTGCAGAGCTCACGCGTAGAGAGTGCATCCGCTTCGGGCAGGATGAGGAGGAGAACGCGAGGCTCTGCAGAGACCAAGGGACCCAAACCCAGGAGGAAAAGGGGGTTCTAGCTGGAACCCAGACCGAGGAGACGCCTGCAACGGTGACCCCTTTGCCGGGGGAGTTGGCGGACAGACTCGAGGAGATATCCTCGGGGCTGGCCGCCAACTCGGACCGGCTGGGACTGCTCGAGGGGCGCCTCGCGAAGATGGGGGTCGGTCGTGTTAGGAGGAAGACTCGGGTGGCCCGGGAGATCTCCAGAGAGGAGAGCGTGATGGAGATTGGCACCGGGACCGAGACCGAAGCCGAGACGGTGACGACGGGGACGGCTACGGACGACACGACGACGACGACAAAGACGGACAAGGGGAAGACGACGAAGGGGGTTGGGGAGGCCACAGGGGTGTGGGCGAGAGTGGTGGGGAGGAGAGCAGGGAGGAGAGAGAGAGGGGAGATGAAGGGGAAGGAGAAGGAGAAGGTGACCGCTGGTGGAGGCGGTCGGCGGGAGAGGAGAGTTGGCGGCGGGGTAACCGTTGCCAACATTATGGGAGCGCCGAGGTGTTACCGGTGTCTATGTGTGGAGCACACGTAGCGCCGGTGCACTTCGGCGGTGGACAGGGGTAGCCGCTGCTACCGCTGCGGCTCCCCTGGCCACAAGGAGGTTGGGTGCCTGTCCGGCCTTAGATGTCCACTTTGCGTGGACTTTCGACGGCCGGCCAGGCACCGAATCGGAGGCCCGGGATGCCTAACAGCACCCCTGGCAGAGTCGAGAGGAGGGGGCGCGGCCCTCCGTCCCCCGTCGTCGGCGGTCGTGCTCACGGCTGTCCGCGGCGGGGGTCGGGGGGCCCGCCTGATACCGGCGTCATTAGTTGACACCGAATGAGGGTGTCGGGGGGACATGGGGGCGCTTAGGCGCTCCCCTCCCTCCCCCCACACCCTCCGGGAGGGAGGGGCCCCACCGGTTGCGGGTGAACTCTGACCCTTAGGGGCGGAGGGAGGTCGCAACCGGGGGGGTCAGGAGGGGGGGCCACGTGTCCCTGGCGGGCGGGCATTGCCCTCCCGTCCGGGGTGCCTGGGTCCCTCTCGAGGACGGAGACGTGACGTGTGGGGCCCTCTCACCGGGAGCCGTAGGCACCGGTGGGAGGGCAACACCGTCCACGGAGGGGGCTCCTCTCCTTCCGAGAGGAACCCTCTGGAGAGGGCCTCCGGGGCGAATGCCGAATCCCCACTCCCTTCGGGAGGGAGAGGGAGCACCGTTTCGGAGGCGGGGGGTGGCGGCTCGAGCGGGATACTCGAGCCGTGACCCCGCCCCCCAAACTCTTTGGGAGGGCGCGACGTAGGGTCGATACCGCCCTGCGTCGCAACCGCGAGGACCCCCGCACGATGACATTCGCGGGGGGGGGAGAGTGTCGCCCTCAACGGCACTCTCCCAAGGAGGGATTAGGCGGGGGGGCGGCCAGTCGGCATGGGAAACCAGCATCCTGGCCGTCCCCCATTAACGCCCGGGAAGGTATCCGCAGTGGGTTTAGTGAGGTATGTCTTGGGCCCCCTGACCGATCCACTCGTGGATCGGCCAAGGGGAACAAGAAGTCCCACATAACCATCCGCTCTCTTCCCGGAGAGCGGTGGTATCCATGAGGATTCCCACTGCGTCAAAAAAAAAAAAAAAAAAGGCATCAAGATGTGCCTTTCACGACACAGTGTACAGTGCGGCGGCTCAGCTCCTTGTTGCTTAGTGACGTGAACCTTGACAATCCGTGAAGCCTCTCCGGACGGTTTGCTGACGCTCTTTGATCGTGCGGCATTGAGCGTCAGGATCCGTCGGCTGATAAAGTTAACGAGTGCCTCGTTTTATGCCGGCTCTGATGAGTCTGACGTGGACGACTCCCACTCCAGACGCGTGCGTGCGTCAAACAATTCGGTAACTAGGAAGTTGAAGAGGTCCGTTCCGTGAGTGTTAATTGGACGTCCAATGCTCTCCTGACCATTGACGGCGGCAGTAACGGCGTTGTGAATGCGTCTCAACTCCTCTGCGGTATCTCCCTTCATCTTTGGCACGGCGATGAACATGGCAAAGTTGGAGCGGATCAATTCTTTTTTATTGTTATAATGTTTGTCCAGGACCGCCCAAGCGCGATCATAATTGTCACTGGTAACAGTAACGACTTGATTAATTTTTCAGCCGGCCCTGTCAAGCATGAGCGGAGGTGATGAAAGCGCTCGATGTTGGAGATCGCATTGCCACTCACGACGGAGAGGAAGAGATCTCTAAACGACGGCCAATCTGCGTAGGCACCAGAGAATGACGGTACTTTGATGCGCGGCAGTGACGACCTTGGCGTGGCGTCGGCAGAAAGCGGTACGTTCGTTGCACGAAAGTGTTCGGCGTAGCCGTCAAGTATGCTTCTTTGATTGACATACAGATTCTCCGTATCAGCGTGCAATTCTGACTTAAAATAATCGCTCTCGCTGAACTTTTCTTTTAAGGCTGCTCGGATAAGATCGTGCAGCGCTTCGAACTTTGTCCACAGCTGATCCAAAATTCTGGTGCGTGTGGCAATAGCACTGGTAGTGATATTAGAGCTGCCCAGCTTCTTCAAATACTCCACGGAACGTGAGATGCGGATTTGAATCTCACGCTGACAGTCGACCAGCGTGGGTACATCCATAATGGCTGCACACACAGATGCTCACATTCTCCACTCACACGAAGAGTCACGCTCGCGAACTTGCGATTGCCGGTGCGAGATCCGGCTCGAAGGACCAGAAATATGTTCGCGAACGCGCTGCGTGAGAAAAGATCGCGCGGCACAAAGGATAAGTCACTTTTGTATCAAAAGAATTTAATTCTCTAACACACTTAATGACAAATACACTTTAACAAAACTTCTTACAAATGTTAATTATTTTACAGTGAAAATTGTAATCAAAATCAAAGTGCGGAATAAGCGGCGGTCGTCAACGAATTTTTAGCGGTTTAACAAGTATGCGGTTTGCGTTATGCGGTTCACGGCGGAAAAGCGATAAGGCTGGCAAGCCGGGTGTGAGCTCCTCTTTTATAATGTTTAGGGTGGAGCTCACCTTCGCGTGAAGCGCCAATAGTTTTGCGTATTTCAAACATTGCGCGAGGTGACCTGAGTGCATGACGCGTAATTGGCCGCTGTCAAAATTAACGGAACGACGACTGGAAGAAAGCATGCGCGAGCGGGCGATTGCGATAATTATTGGTGAAGCGAGGCGCCCGTGATAAGCCTCGCATGCTCATTGAAAAATAATTATTCGGCGGAACGGTTGTGATACCGTTAATTGTTGATGTTTTGAGAGGTTTTTTTCCGAAACAGATTGATTTATGTCGCGGCGTTTTCTCCTCAAAAAACATATAAAAACGATTTGCTGAAAATATCGATTGGTCTAGATTATTCTAAAGTATTCTATTCGAGTATAATTTTTTATTATGCGGAGAATGTTTTCTTATGCATTTTGAACATTATGTTACTGTTACTTTGTGTTTACTGGGTTCTTACATAAATATATATTTTTACATAAATATGATGTTACAATGTTATTTATTTTATTTTTGTTTGCCGTTACGCGGCGAAACCAGACTTAATATTTTGTATTCAAATTTTCCCCATGAAATGCATATAAGGAATGAATACTAAATTAACATTCAAAGTATATATTTTCTTTGTTAATTTAATTTCTGACCTATAATCCTCTAACAAAGGATTCAAAAAATTAAATAAATTAAATAACATTAATATAACAGTGTTTACTGGGTATATATTATAGATAATATGTAGTGGCGAATCCAGAAATTATTAAGGGGGTTTTGATTCGCCACAAATAAAATTTTTTTTAGATCAAATATAAATTTTTATATCTAAACGTGTCTTAAATTAAAAAATATGATTGGAATAAAAATTGTGATTAAGCATTTCGCAAATATTAAATATAAATTTTTTATAAATACTTTTGAAAA